AAATTAATTAAAAAATAAAAAAAAATCAAACAATTACAAAATAAAATAATAATAATAATAATAACACTTGGGCGTGTTACAGTCTATGTGAAATCTGAATATCCTACTTATCTTATCTTTTCATAAAATAGTCAATAAACACATAATTAAAAAGAAAATATACATCAAATAAATGATAAATAGATGAAATTATTGTTATATTGGGGTACTTAATGAAGAAGAATAAATGAAGGAAGGAATATGTGCTTCGATGGCTAGTCAATGGCTTCATATCACGTGGTATATGATTAAGCGATCTTACGTTAGATTGATTAGAGAACAAGTGAAGTATGATTTACGATACGAGCACGATAACTTAAGAGTGGGAGAGAAATGAGATTATGGACCATAAATTACATATTATTACTATCATTTAGTTGTTTTATTTACTTTACCTTATAACTTATGGAGATTAATAAATTGTTCTTTAAATTGTAAAAATATGAATAACTCAGTCTTTGTGAGTAAGTAATAAATTAATTTCAAAAATTAATGATTTAGCATTTCATCAAAAGGATACAAATGGTTTAGCTTTATAAGCAAGTAGTGGATTAAGCAGTAATTGACAGAATATAGACAATCTTGAATAGATAAGATTTGTTCGAGAGCATTGTGGAAAAATTCAACGGTATCAATTTATCATGAGTATTATATCATATATTATTATATAATTTATTAAATATCGTAAATTTTTAGATGTATCAGTTATAATTTTATTGTTTTTTTTAGAATTAATAAATTATTAATAATAAAATAATAAACATGTAAAGATATCAATTAAAGCAATAATAATAAAAAATAATGTGATCCAAAAAACCTAAAAATTGTAATGTAACTAATTAATTACAAATTGAGTTAATATTTATAGAGAATGGGAAATAATAAAATATATGTGATTCTTTAAATATACATATAAAGTGAGAAATTTGTACATAAAAAGGGTATTAACATGCACAACTAATCAAAGATAAAGTATAAGATGTATCCAAACATGTAAGTATGTTATTGAAGAAGATCCACTTACACCATTTGATGATTGGGAAAAAGAAAATTCTAAATACAAAGAATTAGTCTTAAAGCCTGTATGCAGTGGTAATAGACCCAAAAAAAAAAAAGAATTAAAAGAACATAAGTTCACAAGCCAGATTTCAGACGCCATGAAAGAAGTAGAGAGATGCAATCGATTATAATTTCAAGTTTGAAAGTTGGTCAGAACCTAAAGGAGCCAATTGGCTCTCAGCCCATCCATAAACATAACCGAAATGCATACTAATGACTATTAACGCAAATTCTTGAATTAGACACCTTAGTTGACTAAATAGATAGAGTTTTGTAGTTTTTTAAACCAACAATTATTAAAAATAATAATATAATAAAAAATAACTTTTAAATAAAGATAATAAATAAATATCGCCCGACTTGAACCTACACCTACGGCTAACAAGTTAAATTCACCCCAAGTTCTAATATACCGAGTTGATTAAGAACTTCTACAGTTGTTCTTATCGTCGTGCTTTAGAATATGGTTGGTTGGAGGTAAATGAAGGAAAATCAAAGGTAATAGATGAAGGGAAATAAAGAGAGAGTGTCCGAAAATTATTTACTGCCTCTTGTTTATGAGTTCACTTTTTGGTAGAAAAGAACTAGCTGCTTAAAAATTTCACCTTCTATTATTTCTCTCTCCACTAATCCAAAATGAGAATTAGATTCAAAAAATAACCCAGCTTAGCAAAATTGTAAAAGTAGACAGTTTATTTTCTTCTTCATTCAATTCATTATTATAGAATGAAAAGGCGATAAATTAATCCAACCATCCATCAAATATGTAAATTATAATTAAATTTTAGATATTAGATAATTATGATGAAAATTATAAAAGATATGAATCAAACATACTCTAAAAAAAAGGGTCTAAATTCATTCCTTCCTATTCTTTATCGAAGAAAAAGAAAACAAAAAGAAACTGATGCATTTACAACGTAAAAAAAAAAAAAAACATTTGAAACATACTTGTCCTCAATAAATAAGAGATAAATTAATTCATGAATGTGACAACAAGGTGGACTTTATATGCAAAATCCATAGAGACAAAAAAACAAAGGTGGGGGGGGGAAAGAGAGAAGAAAAATGAAACCTAAACAAATTGTGTGGCTTCATGTTTCACTGGTTTGGCAGCTTCAGAGATGAACAGTTGCACTCTTTACTATACATTCCTATAAATCCCTCAAAGAATTAACAAGGAGAATCTCATATCTGCCTACACAACTAATGTTTTAAACCATCTCTAAAGGCAATGCTAAAACTATTCTGCAGAGCCTTACCTGCGGCTGGGGCAACTACATTTCCTTTCTGCATCATGGCCACAAATTCATTGTAGTCAATCCGCCCATCCTGTAAAACATAATAGAAATGGATTCATTAGAATGTGTACATTTGATTGGTAGAATTCCTCACCATAAATTCACATTCCAGAGATTTATACCATGTACTCCCGACATAAAATCGTAATGGCAACTAGTTGGCTTGCATGTTTCCTGTCCTCCAACCTTTTGATGTAGTTAAAACTACTATTTTAATAAACCTTAAAAAAACCACTATTTTTTATGGGTGTGTAGGGGATTTAGGCAGGATCAGAGATAGGTAGATACAAACTTTTCGGATTCTAATTCTGGGACATGATTTATATGGGTGGACGATTTCGAGAACGTGTTTGATGGTTTAACTAATATGTAAATACATTGTACAGGGGCGACACCCTTTTGGTGTCTTATACTTAATATACATTCTTTTTATCTCAAAAAAAAAACCACTATTATAACAAGAGAATAACACTTACATTGTCTTGATCAACTTCCCGTATCATTTCTTCCAAGCGAACATCTTCTATGCCAAACTCCTCACAAGCTTGTTGAAGCTCATCTGGAGTAATATAGCCACTCCCATCCTTGTCAAAATAGGAGAAAGCTGCAAATAGATGGTCTTCTCTCTCTATTTTATTAAGATGCAACGTAGCAGCAACAAACTCCCCATAGTCAATAGTTCCACTATTATCAACGTCAGCCTGAAATTTATTTAAGAATAAATTTTGGATTAGACACACTTTAATGTACATAATTCTCACTTTATCTCACAAATTTGTTTTATAGTCGGGAAAAAAGATTATAGGAAAGATAACAATTTATGCAAGTGAATGATCCTAGATCCTTTCACTCACATGACAAAAGTACCATGAAATGGAAACAGCAAGAATACAACGTAATGTGTTAGAAAATATTGATATGAGCCTATCTCTTCAACATTATTGAAAATAATAGAAATCAATATGCTGAAGGGAAGTAAAGCATCCAAAGATTTAATTCAGCTATTTCTTGCAGAATATTTTGAATTTTAGAAATTAACTCATAGCACTAAGTGCAAGCAATCCATCGGTATTGTTTGGATAGATATGGTGATTCGAGCAGTATAATGCCGATGATACTCCCACAAGATTTATCACCTATATGTAGAACTCATAAGCTTGCGCACCTTATGTTAGTTTGAACAATTAGAAAGTTGATTATTTACTTCCACAACCCCCTCGAAAAAAAGAATCACTACTAAGTGATGTTATGTTGCAATGCTCTACCCAACCATAACTAAGAAAACACTGAAGTAAAAAGGTCATGACAAATTCCCATCTCTTTACTTAAGTTTGAAGAGATTTAAAACTAAAGAAATAAATATTTCTTTCGTCCATTACATCATCGATCACTAATCTTACCTGATGTAGCTACTGTACAGGTCAAATCCAAGTGAAATTTCTATCTCGTTAGAATTTTGTCCTATAAAAGGTGTTTCTCTTATAAAAGAGCAGTGCTTTTTTTTTTTATGAGTAAGTAGATTCCCTCAAGTCAAATGGATATGAGATGAAAAACTTTTTTTATATACCAACATAACCATTAAATGTTGTATGTCTATCCTATCATTTATAAGAAGAGTTCTGAGCATGAGGAACTATGCTCATGTACAAAAAATTCTCCACCCTACGTTGGTTTGGGTTGAAAAAAAATCTTACTTATACAGAGAAGCTACTCCCTCCTAAATGAAGAATGTTTTTACTTAGAAAAATCCTGAAAAACAATTCTAGTTTTAACGCAGACCCTGAGCTTTTTGATACCTTTTTTCTCATTCTTTACATTTTCACAACAATCTTTTCTTTCTTCAGAAATAAGAGACACAAACATGTATATAAAAGCACATGCATGCACAGACAGACACGGAATAGTTGAACACTGAGTTACTAAAACTGAAAAAAGAAAAGCCATTGAAAATACAATCTACAAATACTGCATTAATATATTCAATATATCAAAACTGTTTCTCACAGTTATCTCCATCTATGCATGGACTTTTAAATATGAAACTACCTACTGGAAAGAACATTTCTGATCTATTACTCTACCATAGAGGAGAGCTCGTCTGCAGAAAGAACAAAACATCGCCTATAATTTTAAATGTTATTGACTGCTGCTACTGGTAATTCTATATGTTGCGATTATCTTCCTAGCCTACAACTCCCAATACCTCACTTAACTAATTTTAATGCATATGTAATCCCCCATCTATCATGCAGGATGAAGGTAAGTCTGCAGAAAAAAAAAATGCCAATCTTCTCCTAGTTGTAAACTTCCAAAGAAAAGGATAAATTCTTTCAAATTGTTTGTAGAATTTTCTATCTCAAATAACCAGGCTGAGATTTGTTTGGTTCTTACAGCTTGCATTAGGTCATAAATTTCAGATTCTTTAAGATTAGCTCCAACTCTTTTTAGTCCCGCTTTAAGTTCCTCGAAAGTAATCTGACCACTATTGTCAGCATCTATCATCTTGAACATCTCTTTCAAGCCAGCTATTTCTTCGTTAGATAAGCTTTCTGCAATGACCTACAAGAAAAGATGTTGAGAAATCAGGAAATATTAAAATAAAACTTGTCAAGACTTTTGATGATAGTCAAAGCATTTGTCATTTTGTTTCGTATTCGTAGGTAATATATTCAGAATCTTACCCTAAGAGCCATTTTCTTCAACTTGTTCATAGCAGAGAATTGCTTCATGCGACTGAGTACAGCAGAATCCAGAGGCTTGTCAGGAGCTACACCATCAACTTGAACCCAAGGATGGCCTGTGAGGAATTTAAGCCGCATATTACAAATAAGAAAATAAGCAACCTGAAGCTGTATCACAGTTAAACGTAATATATTTCGAATTGTGATATGGGAATGAAACGAGATACCCTAGCCAGTTAATTTTTTAGAGGAGAGGGATCGACTTAACCAGTTGCTGTTCATAGTACAATTTGTTGATGCTAAGATAGCGTACATTATTTATATAATAATTACTATTATTGCTTGAATATTCATTATTTGTAAGTTTGAAATGAATATCAGCAACCTACTTTCAATCAACTCTCATGCTTCTCTTCAAGACTGCGCCAAAATTCTTAAAAAGTAAAACTCCACAGTTCTCCTTTTTCTTTTTGAAGAAAGTTAAGACATTCGAATATGATCTATTTCCTATTCCTACTTCTCTTGTGTTACTGATAAAAAGTAACATTTATTCTCTTTATTCACCCATCTACTCCCTGACATTCTCAATTAACGAAGGAATCATAATTCTATCAACGAATCTACCATCTTTTCTAAAAAATTATCTATACAATTGCAACTATTACCATCTTACACTACTATAATTCTTTTTTCCAACTTGAATCAAGGAAATCCCCAATCATGGGAATCCAATTGCATTCCACATGACCCCAGGACACAAAAGTGCCGCAACCTGGATTGCCCAATCGAAAGTATTGGATCTTTTACATTGAGTTAGTAACATTATACAAGCAGTGTGGTAACTATGATGGTGAAACCAAGCTCCATCGATTACAGCTGCACACTGTTCATGAAATTTCTTTTGGATAAACAATATTATAGTCATTGCCCTCCAGTCAATAGAAACATATAATTACAAGTACAGAAATCTTTAGCTATTTTGATCTAGCTGGAAAATACATTACTTTTGAGTACGATAACATTGGGGCTCACAAGAAATAGAAAGCATTAAACAAGAAAATACCCTCATATGTCACAAAGAAGAAAAAACTTATAAATCATATTACTCTAATTCTGTTATTTTGCTCGCTGGATTTTAAAAAGCAACTAATATACAGAATCTAAAGAGTGCAAGTGAATTGAGATCTATATCTGCCTCACCAGCTTCACCAATGAATTGGATAAATCTTAAGCCTACGCTTGGAAGTTTCAGGTCTAAGGTAAAGTAGGGATTTTATAGTAAAATAAAGGAGTTACAATAAAAAATTATTGGGAGTTGACTATAGTTTTTTTAAAATAAAAAGTATACATAAGTATAATAAATCGCAGGCACCAAAAGGGTGCCACCCATGTACAAATTTATTGATATGTACAAAAGATTTGCAAGTCAATAAACATATCTATAATTGACCCCAAATCATCAAAATGGACAAGATTATGTTCCAGAACAATCGAACCAAAAAAATAAAACCATCTGTCATTGATGTTGCCAAAAATATCTTATCTTCCCTCAAAGGCTCTATTGTTTTTTTCTTTCCAAATAACCCAGAAAATGGTGAGCGGTATAAGTCTGAACTTCTTATTCTTCTTGCACATCAATTCCCATGAAAACAGCTCATCTTGGACAGAACCAGCCATGACCCAGCATATTCCTAATAGTCTGTAGACCATGGTCCATAACATGCAAGTGATAGGGCACCAAAGCAAACGGTGATTGCTAGACTCAGCATTGTTTTTGCAAAGGAAACGCCACCCGTGTAAAAAACTATTTACAAGTTAGTAAGTATATCTACAAAATTCCCAATCGCTATCCAAAATTATTGGGAGTTGAGTATAATAAAAAAGTTGAAGTAATGTTTCTGGCCATAACATATATGGTTAAAGAGAATAAGGTAAAGTCTATAGGAAGGCGATATTCTTACCTAAATTTGCAATTCACAGTAAAATTTGATAAATAAGAAACTTTAATAGGAAAGCTTTACTGAATAAATTATTAATTCCTCGCAAGTCCCAATTTAGGTAATTGAATGATTAGGGGTATAGAGAACAATGGATTTTTGTGAAGAACTATCTACCCTACTTTACTCCCTGGAAAAACTGCCACTTAAGAATTAATGCTACTCCCTACTTTGAAGAAGTAAAACAACTCCAAAACAACCTATAGAGGAAAACTGACTGATTTGTGGTCAACAAATGCAGGGTTTGGCTTGAATGCACAAGTACACTATTCTCTCTTCTCCATTTCCTATTAGGACTTCTAA